TTCACTGCTATGTGATCGGTATGTAAACCGGTAACACAATTTATTGGGTTTAGTTTCCTACATAAAGGAGATATATGGCAAAAACTGGTATCTGAACAATCAGTGCTATAGGAGATAAAGCTTATACAGCATAGATTTTGATGATTTTCTCAGTAGACTTTGTATTATTATTTATAAAATATCTTACGAAATTTATCGATTTTAGCTGTTCAAATAAAGGAGTTTTACAGTAAAATCCCATATCTGAACAATCAGATGTATGGAAGATATATGTTGTAGTCATCCGATCCTTGTTATTTTCACTGTAAGTATTCTGTAAATAATGAGTGAAAGTGGTGCGAAATTTCATGTTCCTAGCTGCATAAATGGAGGAGTTATGATAAAAGACCTCATATCTGAACAATCAGTTGTATGGGGTCTGCAGGTTATAGTGACCCGACCTTTGTTATTTTCACTGTAAGTCTTCTGTTGATAATGACTGAAAACAGCGCGAAATTTCATGGTCCTAGCTACATAAATGGATGAATTATAACGAAAAATCTCATATCTGAACAATCAGTTGTATGGGAGCTATAGGTTATAGTTACCCGATCTTTTTAATTTTCACTGTAAGTTTTCTATTGATAACTATTGAAAACAGTGCGGAATTTCATGTTCCTAGCGATATAAATGGAGGAGTTATAACGAAAAATTTTATATCTGAACAATCAGTTGTATGGGGTCTATAGGTTATAGTGACCCGATCTTTGTAATTTTCACTGTAAGTATTCTGTTGATAATGGGTGCAAGTACTGCAAAATTTCATGTTCGTAGCTGCATAAATGGAGAAGTTACAACGAAAAATCTCACATCTGAACAATCAGTTGTATGGGAGCTATAGGTTATAGTGACCCGATCTTTATAATTTTCACTATAAGCATTCTGTTGATAATGGGTGCAAGTGCTGCGAAATTTCATGTTCGTAGCTGCGTAAATGGAGAAGTTATAACGAAAAATCTCATATCTGAACAATCAGTTGTATGGGAGCTATATGTTATAGTGGTCCGATTCTTCCGGTTCCGACAAATGATTAATACATTATAAAAATACACCCACCTACCAAATTTGATCCGGATATCTCGAAAACTGAGAGACTAGATTGCATACAAACAGACAGACAGACGGACAGACGGACAGACGGACAGACGGACAGACGGACAGACGGACAGACGGACAGACGGACAGACGGACATGGATAAATCAACTCAGCTCGACGTTCTGATCATATAAGTATACATTTTGATGGGTCTATCTCTTTTTGTTCTGGTACTTACAAACATCGGACCAAAGTTATAATACCATTTCATGCTCATGAAAGGTATAAAAATAAATCGCTATTTGCAAATACATATGCATTACCTTCTTCAATTAATTATACGCATGAGAGTAATCGCACCTGTAAACAACCACATACATATGTATGTACATTAAGGCGTATCACGAAAAAAGCTAAGCGTCTGTCAGTTTTATTTTAATACTTATGACGAGAAAAAATTTTGGGTGTACACATTTTTTTAGGTACCCACTAAAAACCGCTAAATCGCGTGTTTTGCTATAACTTTCTTATTTGATGTCCGATTTTTAAAATGTTTATGTCGCCGAAAAGGTCGCTAAGGACTATAGTTGTCCATTAAAAAAATTTTGGTTCAAAAAACAGTTTTGCTTTATATCTTCACTCATTTTGGAAATACTATACCTAGATTTTTATTTTTAATCAGAAAAGGTATAAATCAAAACGGTTTTTCAAACCGAATTTGATTAATAGCTTGAGATGGCTGAACGAGACCTTTTCGGCGACATAAAGATTTTGAAAATCGGATATCATACATTATAATCAAATAAGAAAGTTATAGAAAAAAGGCGATTTGGCGGTTTTAGCGGGTGTCTAAAAAATGTTTACACCCAAAATCTTTTCGACATAAATTTGTATTCAAACAAAACTGACACACGATAAACTTTTCTTTCTTACATATGTTGTGATACGGCTTAATGTACATACATATGTATGCAACACACTTAATATTTGCAACCGTTAATTTCAAGGACTTCGTGGGCAATATAAAAATCGATAAATTGTACTAGGCAGTTAATACTTACGTACACTCCGCATACATACATATGTATATTTATAATGCACTGTACTTTACCGTGTTTAAAAAAAAATACTATTTACGTGCAACATGTTTTGAGCCGCACAAGAAAAAGTCAAATCCTTATTAACCGACTTCCAAAAAAAGAGGAGGTTATCAGTTCATCGGAATATATTTTTTTTTTACTTCGGACCACTTCAACCGATTTCGATAATCTTTTTGCATCGGAAAGGTAGGGTCTCAGAGGTGGTCCCATACTAAACTGGTTAAGATCCGATCAGTGGATCATGAGATATATATATATATATATATATTTCTTTTTATATGCGAGTTGAAGCCGGTTTTTTTTGCTAAAAATTAATTGTTTTCATTTAACGGCTCGATATTTTGAGGCTTAACAGCAGGTGTGAAGCCCAACAGAGAAGGCATCAGAGCTCTACTAATTCTGAGTTAAGGCGGTTTCTTCTTCTCATTACCCTCTGCATACAAATAATAAGCGGAGGGCAATGAAAAGGCAACATTTTTTGTAGAACAGGAAACGCCATTAAATACCTAAAATACGATGGGTAATTTGATGATTTCGGTTGAAAATTTATAGTTTTTTGAACATTAAGTTCTTGTATTTGAATGGTTTGGTCTTATAAAGCAATATTTGAGTAATTTTTACAAAATTGACAATTTTATCAAAAAAAGTCACAGAAGGCAAAAGAAATTCTGTTCAACTAAAAACTGGGTTATGCAAACTTACAAAAAAATTATTTACTAAATTGTAAGTTGTGATTACTTTTATTATATTTGCTGTCTTTATTTGAAGGTTTCTTTTTCGATTGCCAGGTGAATTACATTTATACAAAAAATTATATTTTTGTGACATATTTGTAGGCATTTTATTGAAAAATTAAATGACTGCATGATTCTCTTACGGCTCTCTTTGCACTTAGAAAAATAACTTAGAAATCAAAAATCTATAGTTCTCCAAGTTTCTAAGTGAAGTTATTTTTTGGGTAACTACATACACGTGCTTCTCATTTGCCAGATATACAATTTTCAAGTCAAGTCAAGTCTAAGTATTTGCATAACTTGACTTTACAACTGATTGAAATTTTTGTTTAACTGAGCAAAATGTTTTGATTGGTTTTGTTGTAGATTCATATGAAACATTAATTCAGAGAAAACATCAATGCAATTCGACCAAATATTTTAATAAACCCAAGCAAACAAAAGTTACAATTTATAAATGCCAACTGTGACACTTTGGTGTATACAAACGTTGTTCCCTCGGTCTTTCTAGCTATAGACAAATGTAAAACCGGAATGTTGTATGGGAACTATGAATTAAAATAAGTCAATCGCGCCCATTTTCTAGATTTTCACTTATAATATTTTTACAAACATATTAGCAAAATTTCGGAATGCGCCCTTCTTGTCTAACCTTTCAAGTTTACCTTCTATGTAGGTACACAATACTAAGAAATGACAACTGAAAGCAAACTTCTTTACCGGGTGGTAAAATGTGCCTTACAATTGCACTTAGTTCTGTCCTGTGCAACTTGCACAATTGAAAGGTCATTTAACACACAAACAGCCGATTTCTCAGTTGATGTTTAATTATAATCAAAAGATTTTCTCTTCTTGTCAGTTTCTCAGTGTACTTAATATGTATACACGAATGCCTTCGTACAATATACAAAATTATTGGTACAAAGATTTATTTACGCAGATGTTTTGTAACATAAGCGAAAGTTTTCGTAAATTATACTGAAAAAATGCCTTTCGAAACTCCTTTCGTTATTGCCGTGCTCTTGCCGCCCAGCCGAGTGCCTAGAAGTGCATACTGCCATGAGATCCAGGGTTCAATTTCTGGTCTCAGCAACTTCAAATTAAGTTTTTTTCAAATAGCACTCGCCCCTCGGCAACAATGGCAAACGTCTGAGTGTACTTCTGCGACGAAAAAAATCTTCTTCGTTTTGTGTCACAAAACCAAGAAGCAGAACCCGAATTGGAAGAGAGTTCAGCCAAACACGTAGAAAATGTTTAAGCGCCAAACATTAATTTATTGGAATGAAATACGATATACTGTTCATGCCCAAATAACCTAGGATATAATTTTAAAATTACTTAGGGGTTTCCCTTAAACAGTAAAAAGCCTTGGAAACTGAAAACTTTTATTGATAGGTCAAGATTTGTATGAAAAAACCGGTTTGTTCGATAAAAAAAGATTAAGATTTCAAAAAATCGCCTATAGAAATCAACAAAAAAAACAGTGGAATCTGGCTTGGCTTGCAAAAATCGAGTGATTTACGCTAGCGCATAGCAAGCTGCCTAACTTCACTGCTTGCCACTTCCGACGGAAGTATGCAGCTTAATGTTTATGGTCGGTAGAATCAGCCAATTTGCAGTTTCATTTATGACGAATTCATAAATGTAAGTGTTGTTGGGCACAGTTGTTGTTACTCTGATTGCGGTTTGCTGTTGGCCAAAAAGGAATAAACAAGACACAAATGCTATCTTTCTACTGCAGGGCGCAATATTCAACTTAACTCTGAATCTCTCGAACTGCCTTAGCATCATATGCCCAGAAAATGTTACGATAACTCAGTAATATTTTACAAAACCGCAATCCGCAAGAGTTCCGGCCGGTCGACTTCGGTCGACTTGAAAATTCCCAAAGGCCTTACAGCCAAGAAAGATAATGTACGGACAAATGTGGTATGTTGAAGTGAGCGAAGAACAACTCCTCCGCATTTGTTCGACAGTAGCAGCTTGTTCGCCTACGAGTAGTTCGTTTGTACTTACGTACTTCAACTTGCCCTCCCAATTCTCTCTCGTCAACTTTGCAGCCTTGATGTTTACTAATTTAATTTATTAATTTGTGCACTTTCCGTTTCTGTTACAGGTTTTGGCTTCGTAACATTTCAGAGCGAGGATGTGGTAGACAAAGTTTGTGAAATTCATTTCCATGAGATCAACAACAAAATGGTGAGTGTTCGCAACTTTCGGTGTACATACATATACATATAAGTTACACAGCTCCCTGACCGACCTATTACCTGTCGTAACTTCCTGCTGCTGTTGATATCAGCTTTAAACCGTATTTCATAAAATATGCTTATAACGATTAATTCTACTTTGCTTTACAGGTTGAATGTAAGAAGGCGCAACCCAAGGAAGTCATGCTGCCGGCCAACTTGGCCAAGACGCGTGCTGCCGGCCGCTCTGCTTACGGTGAGTTGGTAGTTTGGGGCGGTAATGCCAACGGTGGCGGTCTAATCAGTAGTACATTTGCCACTGCGACACACCACAATCTAGCCGGCGCTGCGGCTGCCACCAGCTCGGGCGCTCACCACCACCACCATCATCATCATCATGCGGCGCATCCACATGCCGGCATGTTCGGCGGATCAGGCGTGGGCGCTGGCGCTGGTGCGCCTGCAGCATCCACTTCGTTACGTTACACTCCCTATCCCATACCGACACATTTCTCGGCTGCTGCAGCCGCTGCTGCAGCTGCTGTCAATCACCACCACCATCAGCAGCAGCAGCAACAGCAACAGCAACAACAACATGCACAACAACAACAGCAAGCTGCGGTGGTGGCGGCAGCAGCCGCACAGCAACAGCAATCGCTAGCCAATGCGGTTGCAGCAGCCACTGCTGGCGCCACACATACACTTATACCATTCTCAGCTACAGCGGCAGCTGTTCAACCCGCAGCGGCTACTCCTTCTCTGTTGCAATATGCAGCCGCTGCAGCAGCCACTAATCCCCAAGCAGCTTCAATTTACGATGCCGCCGCTATTGTCGGCTATAAGCGCCTACTGGCAGCTGCCGCGGTCGGCGGTTTGCGTCCGCCTGCTGGGATAGGTCATTTGGGCCAACCAACGGCCACACAAGTTCGTCCGACGCCAGCGGCGACAGCAGCCGCCACTCTTGGCTACCCACTGGGCGATTTACTATCGGTTCAAGGGCTGGAAATGCCGACCACAGCCACGCTATATCAATTGCCGGGCGCCAATACGCTTGGCATCTGACCGCCAACGGCAGTCATAACGCAATTGCCACGGCCACAATAAAGCGCTGCATTTAAACAAAATATATTGGGCCAACACAAAGTAAAATGCAGCTTTGGCTAAAGGGGTATCTGAATTTGAATGTCCGGCGCCCTTTCGTGGTTGAGCAGTTGCTGGGCGAAAAATGCTCAAACACACAGATTTATGTATTTACCATATCAATTTAAAAGCAACAAAATCAATACACGGATACCTACAAAAGCGTACATACATATCCTCCTCACCGCGGTACGTAGTTGGCAAGCGCGGCATTTCCATACGCGATTTACTAAGTGAATGACACTTTCCACTTTGCTTTAATTGAATGCAATTAACGTTATTAAATTATTATCTTTTTTGGCCTTATTTCAAAAACTTGTATTAAAATTAGATAGAAGAGAAAGCGCCATCAGTTTGACAACTCACAAGCTGTCAAATACTCTGCCATACACATTCGTGTACTTACATAAATACTTACTTATGCAGGCGGCTGCAATAAGCTGCATCCAAACGCACAAGTGTACACACACACAGTGACATTAATTAATGCTAAATCATAACAATACAAAAGCCTTTGTGCAATTCACAATGATCGGTCTGCGTGTCATTTACACATGTATTAAAATAATAAGATTATATACATACAAACGCACATACACACACACACACACAAACACATCCAAACATGCATTACCAGTAACCAATTTTGTGCGTAACGTATATCTACTTACATGCATATAAACATAGAGCAGTGTTCACGAAAATAGCAGCGTAATATATTGACACGTTTTCCGTTTTTTTTTAATATTTATAAAAATTATAGTTTATGCTGCTAGAAGACCTACAAATCAAGGTTTAAGACTGTCTCCAAAATTTATAAAATTTCAACAAACCTCGGAAAATTTTCATAATACTTTAAAACTTTTTTATCAGAAATTTTAGAAAACTTTCGGGTATGCAGTTTTATAGACCATTCAATTTTTGCATAATATTTATAGTAAAAGTTTGTAGACATTTTTTTCGTTCGGTGTGTTGCGCTTTTTCTTCCATATAAAGCATTTTTCATATTTACTATTATACGGAAATGGAGGCAAATGCCCGCAAAAAAATGCAAACAAAAATTATTTAAAATCAGAGCAAATTCTTAGCAACTTTAAACTTACCCTCTAGCTAAAGACTCTGAATAAAAAATTTTTAATTTTGATGAACATTTTTTTACTGTTTCTTGAGTTTGAAACTTTGATTTTTATGGCTTTTGTTGTAAAATTAACAGCATTTTTATATAAAAAGAAAAACAGTTAAAATGCCATAAAAGTAAATTAATTTGTCGAAACTCGTCCACATATCGCGCTGCAATTTTCGTGAACACTGCTGTACATAAGTAATTATGTATGTATTTTAAGCTAGTATTTAGCGGAAATGTACTTGCAACTTCCGTAGGATTAAAACGGAATCAATTTGCAGCACTAGCGCTGTATTATATATTATCAAATTGTTCTTATACTTACTTACCTAAATACATACATATGTATAGGCGAAAATTATTAGTGACATAGCTAATATCTACTATAAGTGAACAATACAAATCTTAGATAATTTACATGTATAAATATTTAACAAACTTTTGATCTCATACATACATACATTTATGTACTTGTGCGTCCAACGTTTTAATATTCAGATGCATTAATTAAATGCTTAGGCTTAGGAGAACCCTTAAGGTAAAGTTTGATCTCAAGCATTTGTTTGCAACCTCTTTTCAAAGGATTAGCAAATGCATACATAATTGCGAAATAACCAATATCATCGATTTGTTGCCTAAATAAAGCAAAATATTATCTCATTGAGATACGTAAAACTAAATTTTGCATATCTATGAATAGTGAAATTTTGTGAGCATAAGATTTTAGGTATACGAATTTTTCAAACATTTCCTACAATTATTTGCATCACTTCTTAAAAATGTATTGATTTCACCTACAAAAAGCCAGAGAACTTATCATTACACTACCAGTCTGGATGGCGAAATACCCTCTCTACGTTAACTCGGACTCCTTCAGAACCAAAGCGCAACATCATCGAGGAATTTAGGGCCACTTTGTACTGTTGTCAGTGCATTTAGTTAAGTTAGGTTAAATTAAGAGATTGTTCTTTGTGATATCACATTTCGAACGACATCCACTGCTTAATCGATAGAAAATCTCAGGCCGATTATGTAATTACAAATGGGAGGTAATCTCAGTATTACAGAAGGTAGTGCTGATGTGATTTCATGTCGTTATCATACACAGAATGAGGCAATACATATCGTCGGTGATACTGTAAAATGTCCTATGGCACTTATTATCTCTGGTGCTTAATTCCATCTAAGTGTCAAGGGTATTAAGGTTGTGGAAAGCATCCTCAATGTCCAAGAAAGCTAGCTAGTTTATGTTTATTTCCTATATTTAACTGATTTTCCAGTTTTACTGACCACTTTATGAAGATCACTGTAACCTGATCTTACCTTGCGGCAGGCATGCTGCGTTATGTCCATTGTGTGGATTCCAGTGCTCCAGTAAATTTTCAAGTTTTTGTGTATTTTTCTAGCACTTAAAATCGAATTTTTGTGGCACATTTTGCGGTGCACTAAAAATCACCACAATGGTATGTTTTATGACTGTTAGTATAGAGCGGTAAGTCAACTAAACTAAAACGATAAAAGGTGTTTAGGCATGACTGCTATCACCAAGCGCCTAAGCGCATGCTATGCACTGCTGCATGCGCAAAGATTTACTATATGAAATTTGGTAAATTGTTTAAAATGCACTTCTCAATTGCCTTCTCATAAAACCTTCTTAAGTTATACTTTTATGGCCCTTCAAAGCATGCTCGGCCTAGTCTCATACATTCGCCGAACAATCCCACTGGAGTTTTATCTTACAGGAAGAGATTTTATTTTGAACTTTTTTTTGGCGGTCATAAGTCTCTCATGATACTCATTGAGAAAAAAATAAATAGCATAAAATCTTGAAAAGAGTGTTTAAGACAAAATCTTGAGATCAGCCAAATTATATTTAATATTTTTAACTAACAAACATTTAAATTAATGTTTCCCAAATACTCGTATTACAAATTTAAAAGTGTTTCAAGTAATGCAGTTAGGCCTAGCTGATTACTCATGCAATTAAGCATACATACATACATACGTATGGTATGTACTTAGATATGTACATAGAAACAAATAAATTCGTATTGTCAAATGTTTGTAAAATTTATAACTTAGGGGCTTAGTACCCAATTTTTACTAAAACTATATAGTACTAAATTTAAAATTTAATTAATTAACAGAAAAAATCTAAAACTGGTTAGAGAAAATATTACGATTTTAGAAAAATAGACTTACACAGTCAGTAATGAGAACTTTCAATAACATAAAAGTAGCAAGCAAAATCCAAAAATGTGGACATTTTTATGAAAGTAGTAAAACAAAAAATGTGAAAATAGATTTTAAATTTCTTAGATCTAAGAACTTTAACAACCAAATACTAGAACTGAAGTCATGAATTCTATGTAAGTAGGTTTGCTTTCCAAACTGAAAATAATTGAGAGAGAACCAATAGTTAATTTAAAAACGAAATCAATTATTTACAATTTGAAAACACACCCCCTTAGTTTTGCGTATTGTTATAATTTTTTAATACTTGTATTATGTAAATAACTGAACTAAAATTCTGGAAATCCAAATAATATGCAATCTGAACTAACAAATTCGTTTTGAGCATTTGTACATTTTAGCGCTTGAAAGATAAATACTTAATATTTTAATTGCGCCGTATTAGACGGTGTAGCTAAATTAATGTAAAAAGATACAAAACGTATTGGAATGTCAGCAAAAATTTTAATAAAAAATTGAATATTATCATTTAGTGACGAGAACCCTATTCGTACAATATTCAAGACGCTATTAGAAACTTATTTAGAAAAGCGTCATTTTATGTACATTTTTTTAACATAGTTATTATGCAACTAGGCAAAGCCTAAAGGACACCACCGTTGCTAAACAACTCAAAAGGTCGTAGTGTACACACATACATACATGTGTAAATGAGCACATACATATTTACGTATGTACGTACGTGCCTCTTATGCATTGCATATGTACCTCTACCCAACCACTGGATCGGAAGTCAATTTTATCGGTCACCTACGTGCAATATTTACCTGCTTCATTAACTGTCCACTTGCCTCCACCAGCGCCAAGTACAAGCACAGGGCCAATATGTTTGTTGCATATATTTATCCACTTAACTTTATTTGCCAAATTAAATTGTAATTGCGTTATCCAATTTAAAAGTCATAACGACAAATGATAACTCGCATTGGCTATTTAGAAGGAAAGAAAGACGCATGGGCGAATAGTTACAATAAGTGAAGACAGCAAGTGAAACGCCACAGCGGTACGTGTGTGGGCAGTTCTAGAGAGACACGTAGAGCACACCGTGTGCACCTATTAAGTGTTAGACTAACTACATAAGTACAACAACGATCACTAGGTTGTGCGCACGCCAACACTTACAGCATTGGATCGAAACAGCCTGCCGCCTGCCTACAGTGAGCAGGGTGCCCAGGAAAGAAGACACGTGCCTGTATTGAACAGTTAAATGTGCAGTCTCTATCTCATATGGACTGGATTCGACCATGGACTGCGCGTTCAGCGTGCACAGTGTAGTAGAAAATGTAGCTGGAATTTTTTATTATAGCTTTTCTTTGCTTAATTTCACATCGATATTTTTAAAACGTTTTTTTTTATTCTTTAATTTTTTTCCATAGCCTTTAGCTTTACTTAGTGTGTTACTTTCATAGTTATTTTATATTTTTTTATACCTCACAATAAGTAGTGTGTTCTTTTTACATACATACATACATAGCTGCAACCACGCATACGAGCAACGTGCTGGCTACGGGGCGTATACGTGACATCGCACTTCGCCGCATTTCTTTGCTGGCAATCCATGTGCGGGCACGTCTGAGTCATCCGCTAAGCCACACTTGCGCTACGTTGCGTGTGTTTTTTTTTATATTTAGTAAATAAGCGGAAATAGAAATGTAAAAGCAACATTTAGCGTAAACAGTGAAAAGTTCACGTCTCGCTCTCTAGTCATTAATGAATATTTACACAAACATTTATTTGCGAACAAGAATATGTATTAAATAGGTCATAGAAACGTCGTAAAAGTACTATATTCAGTGTGTACTTCAGTGTTTAGAAATCATCGTACTTAGCTAAATAGTATAATTTTAATTTGCTCTTTTTTAAATTTTTTTAAATTATATATCATCTATGTATTAAGTAGCATTTACCTATTTAATTTCAATCAATGTGCGTGCGTTAGGCACAAACCACAATACAAAAAAAAAAGAAAAAAAAACGAGTAGCGTCAACGGCGGCAAAGCCAACCAGCGATTAGCGAGTACGAACAACGCAGTGCAACTGTAGCTGATTTTATACATTTTAAGTCAACGAAATTAACTATAGAAGTTATTAATCTTAGCATTAGGATGTAATTTTAATTAAAATGGACAGTAATAGAGTGAGAAAGCTTGCCAATAGTGACTGGAAAGAAGCAAATGAATAGAGCTAGTTTAATTCACTGCAACATGGAACTGAATTTGTGAAAAAATTTGTGTGTTAAAGCATGTGCAATCTACTAGATATTAAGTTAATGAAAAATATTCAAAATATTTTCTATTGATGGCGTCCTAAAAATCGCTTGGCTAAATTTCGCTGGCAAAAAATCTCTAACAGCTTCGGCCTTGTCGCGAATTTCACGCGAACAAATATCACCAAATAATATAAAGAAAAGCAAAAATAACTTTTTATCAGTTTGTTCCCGTTTAATTATGGGAAGGATTTATTTACGTGTTATTGGCGATAAGGCTGAATAAGTAATGTGTCTAAAAATGTTCAAATCATTGAGAGAAAAATAACCTCTGCTACCTTTTAGGTAAAGCTCTGGTCAATTGAGAGGCTTTTGGGGCTCAAAATTTTGCGTAGCGATTTCTAAGATATCACGAGAGAATTCGCTTCTGAAATCTTTGTTGAGACCAGTGACTAAAAGTAAAATTTTTATTCTGTTACTGTCCATATCTACATGTAATAGAAATACTCTAGCATTACTATACTTATATGTTTATTATGAATCAATTAATAATATTTGTGTACTCCATAGTTAGATACTCGTACATGTCTGTACGTACATATATACTCGTACATACTTACATGTAAACATAACAATGTATTCGAAATAGCATAGCTTATATGGGCAAATTAACATTTAGATCACTAACACTAACACTTTGGAAAAGTCTAAATTTTTTGTCACTTGAATTTTTTACCATTCAAATGTTGGAAGCTTAGTCTTCAAAATATCATGGAACGAGAATGCGTTCCAGTTTTGGTTTAGTTCTGCATGAGAACAAAATGTAATGCCAAGAACATTCCCACAAAAGAACCCACGGGAACAAAATAGTTGAGAGCAGTTTGAACGGGAGCAAATGTTGTCGTAAAGAACAAAATGCCAAAAAAAAATACTCTCGGGAACATTCTCAAAAAGAACAGAATGAAACTTTCGGGAGAGTTCCCAATGGGAACAAGGAGGATTAACAAAAGAAGGAAGAACAAAAGTCTGGGAAATATTCTACTGGAGATCCAAACGAGAACAAAAGTTTTGAGAAATTAACGTTAAGAATGAGAGGGGAATCTGCGTGTTGATATTAAAAATGGGTTCAGTAAGAACCACGGTATTTTTCTAGCACTCTCAGTGAGACAAAGTGGGAAAGGAACGCGTAAAATTAATAACAAAAAGTGTCCGGACACGAACGGAGAATCCGCCTTTATAATTTTGTTGCCGTTTAGTTCTTTTCCTAAAAGTTCCGGAGCCTTCTTCCCCATTTTCGTCTCTTGGAATTGTTCCACAGGAATTTTTGTTCTTATATATTTTCCATTGAGAACAACACTACGAGAACGACATTTAGTTTCGATTGTTCTCGGGAACTGCAAAATATTTACATAAATACTTATTAGACGTCTTGTGAAATTTTTAAAGCAAAGGTGTCCAAAGCCTTTTAGTGGTAAATAAAACCGAAAAATATATTTGAAAACAACAACAACAATATTTAGCCTTAGTATTCCAAAGTTGCTTCAATTTTTAAGCAAAATCTCACTAGAACAATTTTTCATGAAGACAGTTCTATAAGAATTCGTATTACCGCTAAGTTGTGTGCTCGTATCGTAGTGACACTTTTAAAAAAGCAAGCAAAAAGTTGACGAGGAAGCTTTCCTTTCTTAACTTGCATTAATTCGATGCGCACGAATTTCTTTTATTCTTCCTCAAATTTACTGCTGAATCGGTTAGTCTCCACACCGAGATAAGCAAGTGATTACGGAAATTTTAAATTAAATCACGGTCTTCCCCTAATGGAAAAATCAATAATAATGAAGCTGGCATCACTTCACATAATCGGGACGGTCCTTTTGTTCGAGCTCACTTGGAATTTTCTGATTCGAAAAGTGTATTTTTTTCTCTCAACTTTTTCCAAAAACTAACTGCATCTACACACTTACATTCATAGCGTCAAATAAGGCAACCAATTTCTAAAATTTTTAATGAAATAGCAAACTAGCTAGTCCATAAAACTTAAATTACACAAAAAAATGTTAGTCCGTTTTTTTTTATTCCATTAACGAATTTAGTAATAGTGTCAATATTTGTTAAGATAATTTTTTATAATATTTTTTCTTACTTTTAGAATCAATGTAACTTGTATACTCAACATACGTTATAAAGAAACATTTTATTCATACATATATAATTACTGACAATCCGAAAAACTATTAGAGTTTTTCAAAAAATGTGATTGACGTAAGATAACTAAATCCTTTTGATATCGAATTTTCTTTCTTTTCTATTCCCTTACCTCAACACAGATAACATCATGTGGGGACTGGGGACATTACCCGATGGTAAGTAGTAAAAATAAATATTAAAAAAAACACTGCGCAATGTCATTGCTTTCATTTAAAAAACGCTTAAATTTATTCAATCGGCTTATATTGAGTGCCTTCTATCTTTAATTTTCAAAAAAATAATGTCTTGCTGATATTAAAACTCATTAAAAACTGTAGAATATCCAACGACCTGCATTCCTATCTGTAAGAAGAGCACTACACCCATTAAATGTATGCTGTCCCTACTCAACTTACACCGCTTCATGTGGCAATACAAGAGGAATTAGAAATGCAAGCCCTTATGCCACATGCGAAAAGTAAATTTAAACAAGACAACCTTTCGGTCACCTTAAAATTCTAAATTCCTCAGCTTTTCAAGGGTCATAAAATCACATTTTCTACTCGTGAATATTGGAGCAGTAATCCAACAGGGCTGTAGGACGATTCAAAAATCAAGGTATACCGAAGGTTCCAAAACACCTTACGGTGCAGGTGCGGGTACTGTAGGGCCGCACATATTTTCCTTTCAGCGAAGACGTAAGAATATTCTAGGCGGAACTACTTACCAAACTTGAGACTGGCCACGTTTTATTAAAAGTGCAATGTGCATAAAAAAAACTCCATATTTTCGGACAGCCAATGTGTTCTCATAGCTCTATGTATACTCTTCAAAAGCTCTTCCATCGTTCCACCGAACACTAATCTGGGTACCAGGCATTGTGAACTAAAAAATGGGTAGACACCCCTTTGGTTAGACGCAGCCTATTCCTTGGAGTCAACAACATGCCAAAAAGGATTTCAACAAGTCGAAAATATGCTGCACTGCTAGCAAAGGGAACAATCAAGAAGATCATTTCTTGTGACAAAAGAGCTCAATCTATGCTCATGCTTAGTGAAGAAACTTAAAACTTTTTGGAGCACTAACGGGCCACAAAGCTTTAAAAAAAACAAGTGCTTACGCTGGCCTTTGCAGTACAGACATTTTCTGAATTTGTGATAAAGAGGAGGAATCAATGGAACACCTTATTACGACCTGTCCAACACCAACTCATCATAGAGCCAGATTTCTAAACTACTACAGTCTTAGCGAAGTCAGCCTAATGCACATTTCGCAACATGGGCTTGTACGATTCCTGAGCATATTACACAACTGCTTACATAACCTTTTTGGTTGTTGTTGTTTCCGACAGGGTGGGTGTATGATGTATTTTGGAACGAATTTCCGTCATCCCTTTTCAAATTTGGTTTGGAGACAAACTGGTTTCGGCGTTGTGCCATCCTCAGTGTCATTTTGCGTTCCGGATAATTTTTGTTGGTTACTCGTATTTATACTCCTTATTAACTACCTCTTTCTTTTGTTAGGTACGTCTTCTTAGTTTTGAAGTATTTACGGTGCTCAATAGGTAGATGAATTGTTCTTGCTTGTTTTTGCTGGCAGGTAGAAGTCAGTGATTTTTACCTTCTTTGCATTTGTAGTTAGTATATTCCCTTCCATGTCTATCCTTAATATTTTGTTGTTGTCATTTTTCTTCTCGTACAGTAGTTTTCGAGATTCAAACAGTACGTCCGATACAGTATTTATTTGCTAATTTATTATTTGTCCTTTGAAGATCTTCTGTTTACATATTTCCATATTTTTTCACATATTCAATCTTTGTCCTCCATGTTGTACACGGAGAAGTTCTGTTGTTTGTCCAATCTTCATTGGTGCGCACTTATTTTTGATCATTTTGTTTGCGATGTTCGATTCTGTTGTAGACTCTGGTTTTCGTTTTTTTCTTATTATAATCCCTTGTGTGTTCTCGATACCTTGTACCCATATTTCGTCCTGTTTGTCCTATGTACCTGTATCGGCACTCGCAGATTAACTTGTAAACGCCCTGTTTTTCTAGCGGGTATTCCACGCTTATTTTCTCTTTCAATATTCTTCCCACAGTGGTCCTTGCCGTACTTATGAAGGAATTCGGCAAGTCTATACGATGTCTTTCCCGTGTAAGTTTTCCTCTTTGCTTGTCGTTTTCGATTTTGTGTCCTTTCTTAACTTTTCAACCAGGCCTCTCTTATATCCGTTATTTTGCGAAATGGCATATATTGTATCCAGTTTATTCTTGTAGTCTTCTTCTGTTAGAGGGGCCCTTTCAAGCCTCGTTATTGGTTGTCTAAATGCTGCATTTTTGTATTGCTCTGGATGGTTCGGGCTGTTGTGTATTATTGTATCTGTGGCTTTGGTTTTCTGTATATTCCGAACTCTACCTTGTTCGTGGTACTGTTTATTTTAATTGTTAAACCAGATAGTTAATCTTTCTTTCCTCTTCCGTTTCCATAGTGAATTTTATATTCTGGTGTTGTTTGTCGAGTATCTGCTTCTCTTTATTTCTCTCTATTAGACATATTACATCATCGACATATCTCGCGTAGAATTTTACTCCTAGGATGGTCGATAGGTTTTCCATATATTTCCCCCCTGGTGTGTGTATGAATACTTCCATGAGTATTGCTGACGTCGGATTGCCCATTCCTAACCCGTTCGTCTGTTTATATATCTTATTATTGAACCGGAAGTAGTTCTGTTTTATTGTAACCTTCAATGCGTTTACTATTTCCGTAGCAGCTTCTCTTTTCATTTTTTCAATGAGTATTTATTGTACGGTCTTCATGGTTTCTATTATTGGTATCGATCGGTAAAGGTCCTTCATGTGGAATGATACGAATTTAGTGTTTTTGTTGATCTTCAACGAACTAATCTAGAAGATGAAATCGCCGTAGTAGTCGCAGGAGGCAAAGTCCAAGCTGTACAAGAATTTTTAGTCTCACCACATACTCAGCAAGAGCTTGGTTATACCGGGCCTTGCATGAAAACGGGAATCTTCTCCGCTTCTGATCGATATTTACGTCTATTCCTAAGTCAAGAAATAAAACGAATACATGTTTTTCATTCAATTTTCACTTTCATCTACCGCTTCACTTAGCACTCATCTCCAGTAATGGAAAAGAAGTAGATACAATTGTACTTTTAGTACCTTTCATGAACTTTGATCCGATGTTTGTAAGCATCAGAAGATGAAGACATAAACCCATAAAACAAAGTATAGCAAAATGATGAGAACGTCGCGGTAAGTCGATTTAGCTATGTCTGGCTGTCTGTCTGTCCATCTGTCTGTGTTAACGCAAACTATTCCCTCAGTTTTGGAGATATTCGACTGAATTTTAGTAAGCTGGTGCCTTTTTATAATCTATTATTCATTTGTCGGAACTGGCATAATTGAACCTCTATAACATATATGTAGCTCCCATATTTATAACAGATTGTTGAGATTTTGCTTTATAACCCCTTGATTTATGCTGCTGGAAAAATAAAATTACGCGCTATTTTCACTTATCAACCGAGAGTTTACGGTAAAAATGACAAAGATCGCGTAACTAAACCCTATAGTCCCATTCAACTGATTGTTCAGATATGAAGTTTTACTTGAAAAATCCGTCCTTAAGACAGCTAAAACCGAGAAATTTCGTGAGCTATTTACTAACACTGGCACACACAAAAAAGTGGGGAGTGCTTTTAACCGGACACACCTACCGACATGTCTTTCGACCCGCTGAATCCGCTTCCGAGGTCCATTTTACTCGTACACCCTCAAAACTTCGAGTAAATTGTCCCACAATTTTCGCCCCAAACTCGATATTTAGGAGGTATACGAGTCAAACGGACATCAGATTCTGATTCAGTGGGTCGAAACAATACACGAATACAAAATTATGTAACAATTTTTGGATACAACTGTAAAGTTGAAAACGAAATTTCGACTACACATTTCAACCTCATCTCAACCCCCCAAGAGGAAAGTATTGAATATCGAGTATTTTTATTTCGAATTTACTTGAGCAAATTTATTCAAAAAATATAAATTAGAAAATTCAATACAACTCAAAGCAGTAGAATTGATGGAAAATTTTTAAAGCTGAATTTGCAAAACTAAAGGGGCTTGAGGACATCTTTCGTAGCGAAACTAATTTTTGTGTAAAGAGCAAGTAAAAGTAATTTCATGCATACATTTACTAACGTACTTTTACATAAATATTTACATACATACATATGTATATGGAAGGCAATGTAATTAAAGTCATACTTGGATTCAAATGTGCATACAGAAGTAACATTTTATGCATGTGTGTATGTATATATAAATATTTGCATGTGAGTAAGTATGCACATTAAACGAAGGATATCAAGCCTTGTAAGAACATTAAAACGGACCTAAGTAGAGAAGAGAGTATAAATCTAGACCATTAATGCTATGAAGTCAGTACACATATCTAATTACCAATGTCCCAACATTTTATAGGGACTGAAAATTTCATAATATAGAGGAAAGAAAAAAGTTGTGTTTTATTTGATAAAACCGTAATTGAATGAGAGAAAAAAATTTTCTAAATTAGGGAACAAATCGTAAAAGAAAGAAAATTGTAGCTGATTTTAGTAAAGAATGCGTATTAAATAAAGGTACATAACATCCTGAAATTTAAAATAGGGTTTTCACATAAACAAAAACTTGTATTTACTCTGACAAGAATATTTGTACGGAGGCAAATTTCATACATGATGCAGCTTTTAATAAAAACGGTTGTTTAATAGTTCGGTGTCTTAAGTTTACATAAAATAAATTTTGACATAAATTTTAGTTCTTTTAAAAGTGGAAATATAAAATTGACGCCGAATTGAATTCTCATCATGATGATCTTTCTGTGGTTAATTTTTAAATAACCATACATTTGTATCAAATTTTTTATTAATATAGTTTTAAGTAAGCAAAAAATTTAGTCCATATTTTACTTTCAAGCATGCCTACATTCACTGGCAATCAAAATTGGGTGAACGGTGATTTTTTGTTCATTCATTTTTTTATAAAAACATTTTTTTTGCTATTACCATAACCATGTTAATGAAAGTTTCAAATTGTATACAAAATTTAACAACAAGTTTTCATCATAAATTAAATTTTTTAATCTGAATTATTAGAAAATTATTGGGTATACAGTGCTGTAGCCCACGAAATTTTAATATACGAAGGTGCTTATGTGAAGCACCCCTGAGTCTTTTTTGCTGCCGCACAGTGCGTAATTTGAACGATTTAGGGAAGAAAAATCCTAGCGGCCACAATTTCGACTCTACAAATTTTTATTTTTGCATTATGTACTTCTAATATCTAGGCTGTATAATAATGGTATCAAAGCATGTACATGATTTTATGTGAGAATTTATAAATAAATTTTATATGAGAATTTCCAGGATAAGGTCTATATAGTCAAAAATTAGAAGTGATGTATGTAGGTACCGCTGTGGTCGAGATATTTTGATAACCCGTATTTACGCACCGATTTCGTTTATGCGACATGTATTAGATACAAAGTAAGACATAATTATATATAAAAAATGGGTCGACGCTTTAGTCGATATATTAATTGATATCACTCGATTTCTAATATTTTCACTATTTTTTCGGTAAGTGTTTCATCCTTCACTCCCACAACAAAGCCGCCATTTAGCTAAGTATGTTTGGAAAAGTTCTCTTTTTAAAATATGTTCTACAGCCATGCTTAAAACTGTGTAAAATCCCAATGAATAAATTTTTTTCACCAAAAATACACAAAAAAGCCAACAATATTTTCATAAAAAATTTACCAAAAAATGTAATGTAAGTTCAGCACGTTTTATAACAGCAATTGAGTAAGTGTAGGCGTATGTCTAATATTATCCCTGTCATTAAACAATAGCAACATTTTGATTACGTGTTCAGGAAATGCACAAAAGTTTCCAACTTGTCTTGCTTTCTATCGTTCGACCTTCATACATTTGAGTAGCCATTATACCCGGCAGCAAATTTTGGAGACAGTCTGGCAAAGCGTTTATTCAACAATTCACTCTTTGTGACTGTCTCCGAACTATTGTAATGCAAATGCACAGCGGGAGAGTTGATTAACGCGTTGTGCAAGCCGAATGCATGGGTGTTAAAGGTAAATATTAGGGTGATTGACTCGGGTTTTCCAAACCGGTTTCCGACGATTTTTTTGATATCTTCAGGCGTTTTTTTTTTTGAAATCTTCATTTTTCGAATATCGAATAAACCGGCTTTCTTATCAAATAAACCGGGGGTTTCATCGGATGTATTTAGTACACGCGACTAGTGAATGAAATTCACTACAAATTTATTTTACTTTTTTCCAAAGGGAACTAGAAAATATATGTATGTATATGAAGCATTATTTTTCCTATCAGACCCCAAATTTAGTGTCACACTTTCGATTGGCTTTGCAATTTTTTTATGAGTTCAATACATGAAATAAGCTCAAGAATGATAGAATACAAGATTGCGCCGATCAGAGAGGATTTTTGAGAATAACTTTTGTGTGACGTCACACTGGTGCAATTGCGAGAGAGAAATGCCAAAACGTGAGCAAGAATGGAAGAAGAAGAAAAAATGTTGCAAGCAAAACGTAAACAAGTTCCACAAGTGTGACGTCATGCAAACAGCGATTCTGTCAAATTCGTTAAGAGAGGAATAGCGGTCCGAGATCGGCGCAACCTTTGTATTCTCTCAATCGTGAAATAACCTAACACGTATTCGAGGTTTTTTTTCGTGCACTTCTTCAAATCATTATATCTCGCATTCTGCTCATCATAGATACTTCATTCTAACACCGTTTTAAAGCTAAAGAAACATAAGCTGAATTTATTAAAGCTGATTTACATAGTGAAGACCATAAAATTAGGGATTTAAAATCGCACCATCGTAAGCCTAAAAAGATGGGGTTTTTTCATGAACTATTTTTAAAATATTTTTTATGACGACATGCTTTATTTTTGAGAGTGAACAATGTTTTTATGTATTATGTAACAACAACGTGAGTATTATATATACAAAATTATATTGTTTTTTACAGCCACAGCTACTTCCTATACTTCATGTTATTGCCCATTTAATGCCTCCGGAAAATTTCCGCCGGAGCTTCAATTTAAAAGTGTACAAAAAAATGAAAAATTGTAGTATATAAATGTTTTTCGCTTACATATTTTGCTAAGTGTTTCGCCAAGCTTTCCTAATTTGTTTCTGTGTATTTAGTTGTAATGCAAACAGTTTTTAAACTTTACACTTTTAGGTTTGCCTTTGTGGCTGCTGGTAAAGTCTAAAATTACGGCGGCAAGAGCACTTGTTTACTCCGAAAAAAAAACAGCAAAAATGCAATAAAATTATTAGAAAAAAAGTTCAAATAAGACCGAACGTGAATTTTTCACATATACATACTTATAAAATAAAACCGGTTTATTCTGTTTTTTCTTGTTTCAAAAATTGGGAGCAAGTTTTTTCAAATTGCCATATTTCGAATAGCTTGACACCCGGTCTTGAAAAACGGCGAATTATCAAACACCCTAATATGGTACACATGTATTGCGACTGCGAAAGCTGAGAAGTGCATCGGCGTAGCCAGAATGAAGTTTAGGGGCATTTCAGTGTACTACTTTATATATATATAAGGAAAATTTGAAAGTTAGGGGGGAGGGCTCGAGCACCTCCCTGCCCCTACCTGGCTACGCCCATGGAGAAGTGAGTTATGACATAGGAAAGGGAAAAAGACTACCGCTTCTACTCGTTGCATCGTAGGTTTGGAATTCAAATCGCTTTGGAGGATGATTTTGTGAATGATTCATTCTACATATAACAACCCGATGTCTGTGCATTATAGATATTAAAGAAAAATTAATATGGGGGTCTTTATTAGAACAACAGAAGCCAAATCAACAATTTTTAAAATTTGTGTCTGTCTATTTGTTTGTACGCGCATCACTCGAAAACTAATGCATGGAATTGAATGCAACTTTCACCTATGCGTTTTTGAAAATTGCAGTTTAAGAAAATTTAAAAGATAAAATCAATATATCAATATGACCTAAAAAAAAAGAACTTTAAGGAGGCTTACTTTGATTTAATTAACAACCTAAATTAAATATTGTAATATGGGTATCAAACTAAAAAACTTCAGGAAAGTCTATTGCCAAATATATTTTTAGGAGGGTTGCCAGCTGTTTGCAAAATGGCATTCACTTATTAAATTGATAAAAAAAAAGAAATATTACAATTCGGGTTTCAAACTATCAAGAGGTTTAAGAAAGTTTACTGTCGAAAATATTTTTTCTGCGGGTTTACATCTATTTAAAAGTGTATTTGATTAAAGTAATAAGATAAGGTAAATAATTAATTAATACACTTTTGAAGAAAGAGCACGATACCTATTTATTTTTTTGGAATGAAGCCATAACAGTTTTGGAAGGGAGTAAGAACACAAAAATACTTTTAAGGCGTTAAGGTGTTAAATAAAATAAAAAATAGGTCAATTCATCTAAACGCGTAAATGCCTTGTTAACACGCAACCATGTAAACTTACTTAATTTTGTTTTGGAAACCGATTTATTTACGAGGTTTATACCGTTACGAGGCATTTAAGCGTTTAGATGAATACCCATAATGTATATTTTCCTTTGAATAAAATAATTTTTCGAAGAATCGAACCTGGCTGCTCTGGAATTATTCACCAGTGCTATACGAATACGACAAGAATGCCTGCTTAATTTAAAACTTATCATAAGGGGGTTCACAAGGCTTGTTAAGCATCGTAATATCTTAAGTCTTGAAATTTTTATATGCAAAATAACTGGCATCGTGTTTTGGATTCGGTCGAAATCGATTACAGCGCCAATAAAGAAGAAGGAGAAAATAACGGTGAAAATGGTTTTAAAGGATTTCTAACTACATCGAAATATTTTTGAACACAGCGAATTTCCTAAAGCCTTTATAACCTATTATTTACGTAGAACAATTTGAAGACTTAAGATATTGTGAATCACCAATTAAATATACGTGTTAAAAGAGGCAGTTGAATATATTGGCTTCTAGCTATAGTCAAAGCAAAGTCGACTCTAAATTTAAAAGCAGCTTTTTGAAAGTTACGTTTTAGATGGGGTATCTGTAAAAAAAAAAACCATTGATTTCGGTTAGTTCGCGAACTAGTATCGCTCCCCCTGCTTTACTTTACAACTAGTTGGATTTGTAGCGTGACATACATGTGCATGCATACACTAGCACATACATACATACATATATACATATGTAATTGGTATGCATCGTCTGCATAATAAATACTTACATATGTACTTGGCAAAACGGACAGTTATATAAGAGATTGGCATGGGAGAATTGTTAATTTCTCATGCAATTAATTATTCTAAATGCAAGCAATGCAAATCACAAGTGCCTGCCAACGCAAACCGGAAGAAATTCCCCCAAAACCTTTCATTTCCAACTTATGACATGATGGTTGCTCGCTTCATGGCCACAATGCCACTTCAGAGGCACGTACGAATGTAAGTATGTATGTAGATTAATTTACACACATGCATACATGCATAAATGTAGTATGCAGTAACCGCAGCACATTGCAATTTGTGCTCAGTAAAACCACAAGCATCTTGGTAAGGCAGCCTTTGAAAATCTTGCTGATAATTCAATTGCTTGCATAAACTTTGATTGCGCCTTGCACAATATTTTTACGCTTCATTTTTGTTGAATAATAACCACTTCATCTCATATTCATTTTTCATTCGACTCGAATATTTGCTTTCTTTCTAATGGTTTATTTTTTTCATTTCTGACAGGATTTCCGGCAGCCGCCTATGCAGCCTATGCAGCCGGACGTGGTTACTCTGGATATCCAAGCTTCGGTTTGCCTTACCCTGCTGGTGAGTATGGAAACTGAGTTCTACAAATTCCCGATATACATACACATATACATACAAACACGTTCTATACATTCACGAACTTTTGGCAACTACTAAATAAATACTGCTTAATATATCTACATACATACATACACACATACGTGCAGGCGCACACATTCACTTATATACTTGAACTTACATATTTATACATAAGTGCAAATATTTATTCTCTCGACTACCATACTTAATAATAACTTCAATACACTACTCAAACCATAGCCTCACTTCCGGTTTCCCTTTACACTGCACAACCATAACTATTGTTCCTTACAAAAATACTATATACATACATGTATTGGTATCCTTCTTCACACATGTGAACACATAAGTATGTAAGTACTTCTTTTTCCAAAGCAGGTTTGGCTTTGTTTTTATTTTAAAATGTTTTGTTCTATCTCAATGCTGGCCACCCATAATGCCTAGCAACTGAAAAAACAAAGGAGAATATATTTAATACAAATGAAAAATGTACAATTACACTAATACTTACATAGGTATGTTAAAGGTGAATTTTATGAATGCAAAACATTACCAGTATGCTTCTGTGCGTCCACGCTGTTATCTGGTGTATTTTACATCAGGATGTCTCACCAATATGTGGAAAATTAAAGGGGCAATTCTGGCTAAAATAGCAAAAAGTCTTTCGTAAGACAAATTAAAGACAGATGGCCAAATGCTTCGAAAGACTTTTGTTATCGTAGCACAAAAGTCTTAGAAAAAAGCTCTCTCATTCACCGCTCTTGGTGAAATTTTATTTTGAGAGATAGCACTTGTCTTCGGGCAGCAGATTTTTTTTTTCTTTTTTAGTTTCTAAATTCTTAATTTTTTCAATATTTTTTTCTATTTTTAGTTTAATTTTCTTTTAGATTTTATTTAAAAAAGAAAAATGTTTTTTAATTTTATGAACCTGCATTACTTTTCTTCTTATTTTATTTAATTGTCTTTCTTTGGTTAGTTTCATTTTCTTCTAATTTTTTTTTATTTTACTGCTTTAAAAAGGAAAATATATTTATTTTATTTTATTTAGTTTTTAAGATCTTGTTTAATTTTTTATCGGTGTCTTTTCTTTAATTCTTTTTTATTATAAGTTCTTTTTGATTAAATTTTTTTCTTTTTCCATTTTACTTTTTAGTTTTTATTGTTTTGAAAAAAATATTTTTTTAACATAATTTAATTTGTAAACATATATTTTTTTTTTGCTTTATTTCGTTTTATTTTATTTCTCTTTTTTAATTAAATCTTCTTTTATTTATTAGTTGTTATTGTTTTAAAAAGATACATATAAATTTTTGTAATTTAATTTTGGTTTTTAAAAAGTTATGGCTAAAAGACGAACGGCATAACGCAAAAACCTTCCAGTTGGCGCATATTTTTTATGAGTCTTTGGAAAGACAGTAAAGAGCTTTTCCAGAACTGACCTGTTAATCAAAATCATTTGAACCTTGAATTGTAGCTACCCCCTTGCTAGCTATTGACTCCTCGACCTTCTATTTTCGTAAGAAAAATAATTGTGACACTTCTGTCACAACAAAATTATTACGGCTTAGCGGAAATATCCCTACTGGGTAAGCATATGCCAATACATGCTGCAAGCATATTCCGTTAGGGAAAAGTGCACTATCAACGATGCAAGCAGCAATGATAAATGCTTGGAAAATATGGAAGGTATGCTAAATGCTGCATGATATACATAACCATGTGTAAATTACTGTAAATGAATATTTTCGGTATATTTAGTTTATGGTCTTATGTGGCTGAAGTTGTATGCCATGTGTCAAAACCACAAACACTTGCCCATTTATAGTCTTTTAAAATTCACAGAAACTTACCAGCATTTTGCCACTTGGCCACATCCCGAATTTGTGTACTACTTTTAAAAGCCATATCTCACAATTTATGTACATAAGTATTTACGTATGTATGTACATTTATGTGTATTCTTGGAATTGCATACTCAAACCTATTATCTAGCATAATATCAAAATAAGGTTTCATACAGCCTTTAACAAATACAGCTAATTCATTTCCTCCTGTTATCCATTTGAATATATTGACACTGACAAAAAATCACGAATTTTGTCCTTGGAATTTCTTCAAAAATCAGGATATGATCCGAAGGACTTGGCCCATCGAAGACCCCTAGTGCCATCCAGTCTAATGTCTCTTGACAGAGATAAAATGGTGCCGGTCCCACAATGACATCTAATTATCATCAGTGGCAAAAGCTGAAATCCATTATTGTACCTTGATCAAGGGCAGGGATCATTTTGTTCAGTCTTCGCGATCTGGTACTTTCACTAGCAATAGATCTCCTTGGCCATTAATTCAATACGTCCTCAACTCTCCATTCCCATTATATTCCCAAGAATACCTGTATGGAGATTATTTTGTATAGAAGTTGCCGTTCGAAAATAGAAATTATATCCGCTGCTAGGTTAGGTTCAAGTGACTGGAGATACACTCTCCTCCTCTTCCTCGCATCTTCAGCTGCGGCACTGGTCTTCCGCGTTCACTCCCAATCTCGAGACATGTGTGGCAATTAGACAGTGATCTGTAAGGATTTTTGTGAGAATAGATACTGCCGCTGTAAGAAGGCCACGTACTAAAACTGTTTGTCTGTTTGGGGCAAGACCGAAAAAATTTGCCCCAGTTGTTTCTTTCCTAAGCAAATCTGTCCCAATTGTTTATCCCCAGTGCATTTTGTCCTGGCTGTGTTGGTGGGCGTTCTTGATTTCGTTGTCCATCCACTGATGCCGAGTCGAATATCTTGTCAAACAAGCGTCTTCATTGAATTGTTATGCGGTAAACTATTTCCAGATCGCTGAAACGCCCGCTCATTTTTTCTTCGGTACCCATCACCTATCTCGTCACATCTTTTTTCAATGCCGTCTACATTTTTCAGTGTACAGTGAAACCCGCTTAAGTACCTAACCCGCTTAAGTTCCCAACAGTTTGGACACCGTGAATTTTTTAATGTATTCTGAAAAAAATACCCTCTTTTAAGCACCTCCCCGCTTATGTACCCAACCCGCCGAAGTACCTACATTTTTCGTTCCCCATTTACCATTTTACTTATAATTTTCCCCTTTTAAGTGCTTTTTTTAATTCCTTCAAACAGTCGCAGCGCTACACACCTTCGCCAAAAAATTCTAAAAAATCAAGGGTAACTGAAAAACAAGTTTGAAATTTTGATGACATTTTTTTCAGTGTTCTGCAAAATTTTAAGCTTATATTTTAAGTGTCTATAGTATTTGTTAGGGAATAAATTTTTTTAAATTGAAAAATGTTAAAAATTAAAAAATAAACATAAGTGGTAAACAATAAAATTTTTAATTTGGTCCCAAATGATATGCCCTGTTTGTGTGTATTTATAAATATGTATAATCAATGACTTTTTGATTTAATTCTTGTGAAAATGACATAACATCGCTTTATCTGTTTTTTTTTTTTAAATAAAGTTTTCCTTCTTGTTTAGATAATGCTACGATCTTGGTTTTAAAATACGTATACTTCATTAAATGTTCATGTTTTATGTAACTACATCACTAAGTATGTTCGCTTAAGTACCCGCATCGAGATTTTTCGTGAGGTACTTAAGCGGGTTTTACTGTAATTCTTGTTCGTCGCGAAAATGCTCTTCTTTTCTGCCTATCAAGCCCAAAGGAGCGCCTTTTGGCAAGGTATACATACATATGTACAGTGGCGGCCAAAAGTGGATAAATGATGTTTCATATTTAATATTTAAAATGTTTTTTAAGCAATACCTTTTTTGAAATTTGTTTTAAAATATGGTTCATGCTTTCCCAAAAATTATATAAATTACACTTTCAAGCTTTATACAGAATTTAGAAAAATCCAGAATTTTTATCCAAATTTCGAGTGTTTTAACAAGATTTTTTTTTAATTTTTGGGTATGCAACTAACAGGATTCTAAAATTAGTGCAAGTTTTGAGCGGCTAAAAATCTCAATAATTTTTAATATTTTTTTTTTTTTATTATTGACGGCGTTTTGTACTTTTTCCATGTAAACAAGAATTTTTGTGAAGGAATATGCGCTAGACCTTTTGCGAAAAAAATATATAAAGTGAACGCTAGGTTTCCCAAATTTCGCTTTTTATATGAAAAAACCGAAAAAGCCGTCAGCAAAAAAAATATTAAAAATCAATGCGCTTCTTTAGCCGCTCAAAAATTGGAATATTTTAGTAACATTTTATAGTCCTGTTAACTGCTTACCCAAAAAATTTTAAGAAATGCTGGTTAAAAAGGTAGACATTTCGATAAAAATGTATAAAGTTTGAAAGTGAAATTTATATGGTTTTCGTTAAAGCATGAACCATATTTTTATAAAAAATATCAAAAAAAATGTTAGCTTGAAAAACATTTTAAATATTAAAAACGAGACATCATTCATCCATTTTTGACAGCCACTGTATGTAAGGGAACGTACCCATACTACGTGACCTGTTCAGGGGGGAGAGGGGGATCTTCAGAATACCACGCTTGGTCACAGTGAGGGACGGGGGGCTTAGGTTTTTATCACGTAGTCAATATCCTCTAAGGAAAACTTGCGTTTTTTCGAGATACATTCAAATATGGCGCGCAGTGTTTGACGCTTTTTAAACTCACAGGACTTTTGTTTCTAAAAATTAAGCTAAGCTTTGACGTAAGTTTTATCTTGATAATAATTTTTCAGGCATGCACTCTTGCCGTCACGCAGCAAGCGCCATATTAATAAAGACAAATACATATAAGCCAAATAATTTTTAACTTTTTGTTAGCAAGAAATGAATCAAAACCATATTTATGAATTACTACGTGAAAACTGTGGGGTAGGGGTCTTGAAATATACTACACGAGGTCACCGAGGGGGGAGGGGGAGGTTAAACATTGGAAAAAGTGGGTCACGTAGTATGGGTACGTTCCCTAAGTATTCTGCGCTTCATCTACAGGCTGACATTGGG